GTATGCAATGTGTTAATTATTGAAACTGTCCTACCAATTTGATTTGAAACTGTCTTATTGCTATTTGTTTATCAATAAAATTATGGGAAAAAATAGATAAAAAGATAGACTTGTTATGAAGTCTAATGATTTTTTCATTTCCTGTTTGGATTGTGTTCTTGGTATTATTTCTAAACTTTTTTGTCTGATCCTAGGCCACAAAAATTTTCATGTTTTCTTCTTGGGTTTTGCAATTTTAACATTTAGTCCTCACATTCCTGTTTATTGACTTATAATCATTTTTATGCAGTTTTAAAAACTAACTGAAAAAGAAGATACATGCAAAAACTACCTATGTATTGTAGAATAGTCACTTACATGGTTTTGTTTACTTATGCTATTTATTTATGTGGATTTGAGTTATTGTCTCGATTCTTTTATTCTCCATCCCTTTCTTGGGCTTTGTGAGACAGGATATCATAGTTCAGGCTGGTCTGCAATGCACTATTTAGCCCAGGCTAGCCTCAGACTTGTAGTGATCATCCTGCCTCAGCCTCCCAAATTCTAGTACTGCAGACTGTGCCACTCTGCCTGACTTAGATTCTTTTATTTCAACTTAAAGGACTCTCCAGTCAGTTTATCTTTTGGTAGAGCTGGTGTAATTATGAAGAATTGTCTTAGTTGTGATTTATCTGTCTTTATTTCATCTTCATTTTTGGATAGTTTTGCCACTTACAGAGTTCTTTGTTGAGTGTCCACTTTCACCGTGGTCAATGTGTGCCCCCATCGCCTCTGGTCTGGGTTCTGAGAGCCTAGTGTCAACTCTACTGAAGACCCACAATGTCACGAGACACTTAGCACTTGCTGTTTCAGACTCTGTCTTTCTGTAACTTTACTATGTTGTGCCTACAGGTGTGTTTCCTTTAGTTTATCTCACTTGCAGTTCTTTGAGCTTCTTGGATGGGTAGATTAATGTCTTCATCAAATATGGGGAATTTTTGAGCATGATTTCTTCAGGTACTGATTCATTCTCTCCCTCTCCCTCTCCCTCTCCCTCTCCCTCTCCCTCTCTCCCTCTCCCTCTCCCTCTCTCTCTCTCCCTCTCCCTCTCCCTCTCCCCCTCTCCCTCTCCCTCTCTCTCTCTCTCTCTCCCTCTCCCTCTCCCTCTCTCCCTCTCCCTCTCCCTCTCTCTCTCTCCCTCTCCCTCTCCCTCTCCCTCCCTCTCTTCCTCCCTCCTGCTCTCTCTCTCTCTCTGTGTCTCTGTCTCTCTGTCTCTGTCTCTCTGTCCCCTACCCCTGGGGACTCCCATTCTGTATCTTTATCTACTGGTAGACTGTGAGCCCCCTCAAGTCTCTGCTTTGTGTTCTTTTAAGATTGGTAGCCTTTTAATAAACCCATCCTCAGTACCACCAGAACTTTCTTCTCCACCTCACATCTGCTGAGCTCCTTTAGTGAAATTTTCACTTTAGTTATCGGACTTTTCTATTCCAGAATTTCTAAATTTCTTTTTCTTTTTCTTTTTTTGTGGAACCAGGGATTGAACTCAGGCCCTTGCGCTTGCCAGGCAAGTGCTTATTCTCCTGAGCTATCTCCCCAGCCCCAGAATTTCTAAATTTCTAATTGGTTCTCTGGTGATTTTTGCCCTCTTCATTGGTACTCTCCTTAATGAGTCATTAATTCTTCAGGGTTTTTTTTTTTTTTTTTAGTAGTTAGGACATATTTTTAATAGTCATTTAAGTCTTCCTCTAGACCAATTTCTGTTGGTAGCCTTTATGTATGGGCCATACCTCCCTATTTCTCTTTATGTTTTGAATATTTTGTGGACAACTGAATGTTTTAGGCGGAATAAAGTTTGACCTTAGGAGTCACATTTCCTTCTCTCCACACTCAAGCGTTGTTGTTATTGTTGATTTTTCAGTTGCTGTGTTTCTGCTGTTCTTTGATCGCTGATGTCACTGTTTGCCTGGGCTGCTCTGTGTAGCCCTTGTTTCCGTCACTGTGTCGCCCCTGAAGTCACTGCTGGGTTACTTGAGAGGTCAGCTCCTGATCACCCAGAGCTTTCCTCGGATTACTCAGTTTTGTGTCCCCTGCCGGGAGGCTGCGAGTATTTGAGGCATTTGGGCTGCGGACATGTCTGCCTTCCCATTGGGCGGTACCTCGGGGTTTTTAGATGCCAGAGACGGGGCCTGCACTGCTGTCCTGCTGGGGAGACCAGCCCTGCGGGCTCCAGGACAGTGCACGAGTTCTCAAGGCCGCTATGGACTGTGGCTCGGGCCGTGTGGATGGGCTTTTTCTGTGTGGCTCTGAGTCAGGTCAGTAAGAGTTTGGAGACTGTCACTTCCAGAAGCTACCAGTCAGGTTCAGGAATGTAGTGCCCAGGAAGGAGGCTTGCTGAGCAGCCTCAGCCCTCGTCGGCCCTCTGCCTGCTAAGCTTGTGGCTCGCATGCCTCCATATGGGGCATGGGGAGAGTTGAAGGAAAAACCCATTCACCCTGCTGTTCTGCTGTGACTCAGCAGATTTTGTTTGGTTTTCAAAAAATAAATGTTTTGTGGGCCAGGGAGATGGCTCAGTGGAATAAGCACTTCCCTGGCAAGCGCAAGGGTCTGAGTTCAATCCCCGGTTCCTCCAAAAAAATAAAACAAATAAATGTTCTTGTGATTGCTGCAAGCCTTTTATTTTGAAAAAACAAACAAACAAACAAACAAACAAAAAACCTCACAAAAATCCCCCACCAGTCTTTTTTCTTTCTTTTTCTTTTCTTTTTGTTGTTATTGTAATACTGGGAGTCTTAGTCACTTTCTCATGAAGACAAAATACCCAGCACCCACAATTGAGAGCGGGAGAGATTCCTTTTGGCCAGCATTTTTCAGGCCACGGTGCGGGCTCCCAGGCAGAACCTTGCTGGGTCCTCCCCGTGCCGCACCCGCACTGAGGAGGCTCTCGCAGGCTGTCGGGAACAGCAGCTGTTACTGCGTTCTGGGCATTCTAAGTGTCATTTCTTCTCATCCTCGTGCAGTTTGCACCCCAGCGCTGGGTGGTTTTCTTCCACTGAGTGAAACTCAGCTGAAAACCCCAGGAATCTCCGTGTAGCTACAAGCCTGCCCTAGAGGTTCACAGCTAGCCGTGTGGGCACTCCACCTTGCCAGCCCTTCCTGTCCCCAGCTGAGTCGCACTAAGCTGGACACTGGACTCTGCCTGTTTCTCCTCGCAGTGCCGTGGCTGGGCAGCCAGCGCGTAGTAGGACATGTGCTGGGCCCTCCTGCTGTCTCCCTGAGATGTCTGTCCTTTGTTCCTTCATGCTCAGTGTTTTTGACAACACTGAGTTGTGACTGTGTTAGCTGCTCAGGTGGGGTGAATCTGGTTCTCATTGTCCATCGTACTTGGAAGTGCATGCCTTTCTTTCTGTATTAATCCTGTTTGTATGAACAAAGAGGGAAAAAGAGAGGGTAAGGGATTAAGTGAGTCACCCAGGGATACAGCTCATGGACAGCACAACTGAACTGGAAGTGAATTTTCCAGACTCCCAAGATGTTGCTCTTTATTTTGTATTATTTTAAAAAATTGGGCAGAGCACCGGGGCTGGGGGTTTGATCCCCAGCACAATAAGCTGTGTGAGACCCACCCCTGGGGCATGGGTCTGAGCAGTGATTGAAACTGGGTGTGGTGGCATGCGCCTGTAATCCCAGTGCCTGGGAAGCTGAAAACAGGAGGATCACTATGAGTCCAATCTATGTAGTGAGACCCTGTAGACCCTGTACTGAATACAATAATTTTTTTTTTTTTTTTTTGGTACCAGGGATCAAACTCAGGACCCTGTGCTTGCCAGGCAGGTGCTTATGCTGTTGAGCTATGTTCCCGGACTGATGTTGCTCTTTATAACACTTCTATAAAGCTTTTACATATGTATAGCATGAACCAACATATTTAATCATAGATTTAAGTATATATATTCAGATGTTAGATTAAGAAGCATTGAAAACATTTTACAGAAATTGCTTTCCTTTTTGCCCCTTAAAGATAAATGTGTTGAGCGTGAAGAACACATCACTTTAACTTTACTGGCCAACGAAATTGCTGTTAGCACCTGCAACCTTCACGAGAGCGAAAACATAGGTCCTGTGATTTGGTATGAAAACGATGGCAAGACGCCTGTATCTACGGATCCTAACTGCAGGGTCAGTCAGCAGAAAGGAAAGCTGTGGCTTGTCCCTGCTAAGGTAGAGGACTCGGGACATTATTACTGCACCGTGAGGTAAGGAGAGATGAATATGTCATACCCACACGTTCTAAGTACCCATAGAAATGGAAGGCAGAAAAACCTTCGAATAATCTTTAAATTTTCCATTTCGTTTTCTTTTAGAAATTCGACTTTCTGTGTCCAACGTAAAATAACTGCACGTTTTGTGGAGACCGAGCCTGACTTGTGTTACAACAGACAAGCCACAGTTATACAGAAGCTGCACATTGCGGGAGACGGAAGGCTGGTGTGCCCCTACTTAGATTCTTTCAAAGATGAAAATAATGAGTACCCCAAAGTGGAGTGGTATAAGGTAATTGTATCTTAAATCTAGTATAATTTTCCAAGCCAATAAAATAGCGTTCTATATTAGAACTTAAGTGGGGATCATCCAGGGGTTAGATGATGAAATGTAACTCGTGGCAACGAAGAAGAGAAATCGCACTTCTGAATAGCTGCACTGCTGAGATGCTAGTGTCAAAACATCTGTTCCCGGGGCTGGGGAGATAGCTCGGTAGAAGAAGAGCTTGCCTGGCAAGCTCAAGGGCCCGAGTTCAATCCCGGGTTCCACCAAAAAACAAAACAACAACAAAAAGTCTTTTCCCACTGCCTTGCTCTTCTTGAAGCATGACCTTGTCCTCACTGCCCTTCCTAGCACAAGGCGTCAGTAACCCAGGAGCTAAATATAACATTCAAACGTATTTTATTCAAGGAATATTTTTGATCACTTTTTTTTTTTTTTTTTTTTTTGCGGAACCGGGGATTGAACTCAGGCCCTTGCACTTGCCAGGGAAGCGCTTATTCCACTGAGCCATCTCCCCGGCCCCTTGATCACTTTTTAAAAATTCGAATTTGCTGGTGGGTGGCCGAGGGCGGCGCACGGGCCCCCTTCCTGAGCCTCTCTCCCGCGCGCTAGGACTGCAAACCGTTACTTCTCGACGACGAGGCGCCGTTCGTGGGCTTCCAGAACACGCTGCTGGTGAAGAACGTGGCCCCGGAGCACCGCGGGAACTACACCTGCCTCGCGGCCTACACGCACCTGGGCAGGGAGTATCGGATCTCGCGCGTGATAGAGTTCCTGCCGCTCGGTGAGTCCTGGCTCCGCGCGAGGAGCTCCATCTGGAGCGGCCCGAGACCCCGACTCCGCGGTGGCTTCCGTGGTCCGCTGGCTTGAGCAGGCCAGGCGCTGAGGCTGCGGGCCTGGGGCCGAGCCGGGCCACTCGGAGCTGTACGAGCATGCTTTTTGATGTGTTTAGTGCAGGGTCTCGCTACGCAGCCCGGGCTCATAGTGATCCTCCTGTCTCAGCCTCCCCAGCGCTGGGTTACAGGCGAGCGCCACCACACTCGGTCTCGGTGGCCAGCGCGGCGTGTGGTGCCGCGATGACGGTTCTTAACTTTGCCAAGATTTTCAATTTGGCATTAACTATGTTTCATGCTGAAGACTATTTATAGCAGAATGAAGCAAAATGCACCTCGGCAGAGTGTCTGGGTTGGGCAGAATATTTAACCTATCTGTAAATAAATTTAACCTATCTGTAAATGTCAGCTTTGAATAGCGTAGGAAGAGTTTATCGAACTAGAACTTCTCTTGCAAGTAGAAGGTCTGTCTGCTATAATTATGCCAGGAGAGCGTGTTTAAATTGGGGCCGTCCCTGGCCGATCCAGAACATACACACCACCCTGCTGCGTTTTCCCAGTGCCATGGTTATTTATTTTTCGGTGATCAATTTTAATGCATAAATGTGAATGCCCTGCTTTGCGCTTACAAGCGTCAGCGCTCCCAGCTTCCGGTGGCCTTTGCAGCCCGGCGCCTCCAGGCCTGCGGCAGCTACCCAGTCACGGCGTCGCGCTGGTTTCTTCCTCCTGAGACCCAGTCACCGGACAAGGAGGTGAAACCCTAGGGAGATTGGGGCGCTGGCAGATTCTTAAGATCAATTCAATTTGACCTCTCTATCTCCTTTTTTGAGTCCAACTTTTAGAAATGAATATGCTTAAAAGTAAAGGAATATTTTGTTTTCTCCCTCGAGCTGACCTCTAAGATATTGAGTGCTTTTTGTTTGTTCTTAGATTTAAAAATACGTTTAGTAAGCACTTTTGTGTGCCAGGACCTGTTCTAGGTATGGATTAGGAAGGGAAAAACATAGCAGCCCGCCCTTACGTTTGTTTCTTTTTTGACTGGGCCTCCAACCTCCTTATTTCTCGTATTTTCCTCTCAGCCACGGGTCAACCCTTGAGGCTGACCTTCCTGTAAGTAAGACTGGGATTAACCTCTGGGGCTCCTGGTAATCTTTTGTCTATTTTAGTAAATGACGTCAGAGTGCTTGGCATTTGCCAGCGATACCATCTATTTCATCACTGGGTCACTAAATCCAGGGTTACTCAATCCAGGGAGGTCTGGCACAGACTGGATCTACCACAGCTAGTTACCTTCCTGACTTCACAGAGTATCCTGGAGGTGTGTGTGTGCGTGCGTGTGTGTGTGAGCGCGCTTGTGAATGTGTGCTGTAGCATCACACCCACCAGGTTGGAAGGCCCAGCTCTACACTGTGTGCCCACTGCGCGCTGTCGCCTGTGCCAGCTCCTTCCTTCTCCTTCTGTCTAGTCTCCTGCTGCAGATTCTCAGAGCAGCGGAGCGACCCTGTGGTCAGAGCCCCGGACTGAGTTTCGCTAGGGGTCGCTGTCCTTGCAGTCCTGATTTGCAAGAGGCTGAGCACAAGTGGGTGTTTGTATTTCAGAGGAAATCAAGCCCAACAAGCCTGTGATTCTGGCCCCCAAGAATGAGACCGTGGAGGTGAAGCTGGGTGAGTGAACTCAGCGTGCAAAGCTGAAGTCATTCTTTTGACCTGAGTAGTGAGCAGCAGGACCCGTACTACATGTACCCTAAGCCACTTTCTGAACATATCTACACAGAGATTAATGGTGGCAGTAGTTGTATCTTAAATTTTTTAATGTTTAGATTTTCTTACTTCTTATGACAGAAATCTAACCATGGTTAGAACTTGTGAGCAAAATTCATTTATAGGTTCAACAGGATTGTGATTAAAAAATGGGAATGGACTTAAAAATTGGCAAGTGATCAGAAATTCACTTGGCAGAATTAAATGATGACATCCATTGAAATAATACTAGTAAGAGCTCAAAATGATATGAATATTCTAAAACGTTAGTGAAATGAAAGAGTATGGCATTCTTGGCATAGGTTCACACACTCAGATCAGTGGAGAAAGTTCAGAATAAAGGAGAATATAATTTATGATAAAGGCAGCCTTATAGTCTAGTGAGAGAAAAGTTGTCAATCATTGGTTCTGAAATGGTCAAGCATTTGGATAAAAACATTAAATGAATGCTTTTCCTCTGATTATGGCCAATCGTATTCTGGTTAAAGAATGAAAAGTAAAACAATGAACGTACTATTCACTTAAAATAAAATGTTTCTAATAAAAGTTATTTTAGAAAAAAAATGTAGTGAAGAGATAAAGTAGGAAAAAAATGTAAGTAACGAAAAGGAAGAAAGATCTGTGTCAAAACTTTCATAAACTAAAATAAACCAAAAGCATCTCTTTGGAGAAGTATTGGGAGCAGTTTTTGCCCATTGGTTCACCCTTGAGAGGAGAGCTGGCCCGAGGTCTGTCAGGGCGCGGCGCGAATGGGGCCGCCTGCTGGGCCCGGAGGAGCACTTGCTAAAGGCGAGGCCGAGAAGCGCAATGCTGGTGAGGAGAGGCTGGCTTGCCTTGAGTTCAGGTGAGCAGTACGGTTCAGAGGTAGGACGTGCGCCTTGCGTGCTGTTCAATGCGATGAACTATATTTTTTATTTCTAAAAAAGAAATACAGGTGAAAATTTAAGTAGCTTGTTTTCTCCTCTCGGTTGGCAGTGACTCACCAGAAGCGCTGGCCGTGGCGAGGTTTGGGGCGTACACTCTTGGAGTAAGCAAACGGGGGCAGCCTCCCGTGACGAAGGCTTGGCTTTAAGGACCGTTTCGCCTTTGATTCGGCCCTGCTGCCAGATTTTTACTCACTGTCATCCTGGAGCACGTGTACAAACACACCCTGATAAATAGCAAGGGTGTTCTTTTTAACATTAATCATGGTAATGAAAAAAAATCACAAAAAATTGTGTTGGTTGCAATAGGGAGACTGTTAGAGTATGTCTGTATTGTGCAACCCTACATAGCCACACAGGGGGCCGTTAAATTTGGAGCTAGAAGTTCCAAATACACAGCAACTTCTAAGTAGTAGACAGTAAGATCCCCTTGACAGATGCTTATGTGCACAGAGAAGGTAAGGAGTGAGATGAGCAAACTCCTAACAGTGGTGAGTTTCAGGGCATTTTTTCACTTTCCTTGTACCTTTTAACAACCAGAACTTTTGTTCACCAGCCATTTAGTCATATAGATAGGCCAGCATGAAAATCAATTAATCTTTTGATTAAAGATGCATTGCTTTGCAGGATCCAAGACAGAGTTGATCTGCAATGCCACGGGCTACTATATCGACTCTGTCTACTGGATGTGGAACGGGTCCACGATTGCTGAGGATGACCCAGTCCTGGTGGAAGACTACTATTAGTAAGTGTGCCAGTGGACTTCAGCAGTAAGTTGGATGTCGGGCTTTTTAACCTGGGTACTTAGCGTCGATGACAGTTCACTCTTCCTAACCCTTAGCTGCTCAGTTTTATTTCTGTTGAAAGTGCTGCACAGGTTTTGTGAGAGAGCTTATATATTTAAGATAAAAATATGTTACTGTGGTACAAATTCCACACCATGTGGGAAACCCACATGTTTATCCATTCATTGGTTGGTGGGAAATTTGGGTTATTTCCAAGATGTAGCCATTACCACCTGTGCCAGCGTAAACACAGGTATGCATATATCACTGCGCTGTGATACTTTTATTCCTTTGGGAAGATGCCAGGAAGGGTAGAAGCTGGGTCCAATAGAACCTCTAGTCCTAGGTTTTTGAGAAATCTCCAAACTAATTTTCACAGTGTTTGCATCAGCCCGTACTCCCACCAGTAGTGGAGAAGGGCTCCTTTTTCCTCACATTCCCAATAACAGGTTGTTGGTTGAGTTTTTTATAATAGCCATTCTTTCTAGAATAAAATGGAATCTCAGTGTTGCTTTAATTTGCATATCTTGAATGACGAATGATGTTGAACATTTTTTTCATATATTTACTGGCCATTGCTTCTTTTTTTTTATTTTTTTTTTATTTTTTTTATTTTTGGCAGAACCGGGAATTGAACTCAAGTCCTTGTGCTTGTCAGGCAAGTGCTTATTCTACTGAGCCATATCCCCACCCCATCCTTCTTCATCTGAGAACTGTCTACTCATTTTAGATGTGCATTTTTGGACTGGCTCTTTATATTTACGGGAGTTGATTTTTTTTTGAATTATTTATTTTCATTTATGTATTTGGTATAGGGTCTCACTACACAGCTCAGACTCCTAGTGATCCTCCTGTTTTCAGCCTCCCCAGTGCTGGGATTACAGGAGTGCACCACCACGCCCAGACTCTGTCACCTTCTTAGCGCATCCTGGGGGTGGGGCTGGTGTGGCATGTGGAACCAGGGATGAAACCCTGGTCTCTGAGCTTGCCAAAGCAGGCACTTAGTCTGCTGAGCTACCTTGCTGGCCCTTTTGAGTTTTTGATATATTCTTGATAGTAGTCCTTTGTCTTAGAAACAGCTGACAAAGTTTTTTCTTATGTCATATGGTGATTTCTCTTGCTGTACAAAAGCTTTTTCATAAATAAGATGAGATCCCAGTTGCTAATTCTTGGTTCCAGTGTGATTGGGATTTCGTTCATAAAGTCTTTGGCTATACCAGTGTCTTCAAGAGTTTTGCCTGTTGTATCTTCTAGCAGTTTAGTGTTTCTGTTTTCATATTTATATCTGTAATCCATTTTGACTAGTTTAGTGCATAGTGGAAGACATGGATCTAATTTTAATCTTTGGAATGTGAAAAGCCAGGTTTTTTTTTTTTTTTTTTTTTTTTTTTTGCAGAACCAGAGTTAGAACTCAGGTCCCTGATTTCCAGGCAAGCACTTATTCTACTGAGCCATCTCCCCGGCCCCATTTTTTTTTTTTTTTAAGCACCATTAGAGGTCCCATTCAACTCAGCTATTTCTCTCCTGGGTATTTTTCCAGAAGAACTTAAAACATCATACCACAGTGATATATGTGCACCCATGTTTATAGCAGCACAATTTGTCATAATTAAATCTTGGAAACAGCACAAATACCTATCAGCTGAGGAATGGATAAAAAAGATGTGGTATTTTTATACAATGGAGTATTATTCAGCTATATAGAAAGATAGACTTGAGGATTTTATAGGTAAATGGATGCAACTAGAGACTATATTCGTAAGTGAAATAAATCAGACCTGCCTTTGTATACATCATACTGTTACCCTTGTATAAGAAGAATCTGAAAGAGTAAATGAACCCAAAAGGTACAGTAGATACTGTGAAAGGGAAAGAGACTGTTCAAAAGGGAAGGACAACTGAGATGAGGGAAAGAAGAAAAGAAAAAAGGAGGGAAAAGTACACGTGTGCGTCCGTAGGGTAGCCTGGATAATTGTACTGCTGATTTCTGCTGGTCTATTGAAAGGAGCAGTGCTTACGATGTTTTCTTCTTTTTAATTTTTTGACCAATTTTGCATGCTTATATGCAGTAAACTGAACAACTAATTTGAAGACTGCAATATGCAACACAGAAGCCATTTTTGAAGTCCTATCATTTTATTTAGTGAAATTTTATATCATTTGCATTAAAAATGATATTTTTTTACTACTTTTATTCTTTTTAAAAAGATATGTATGTACAAATTCTCTATGATGAATGTGATATTATGTATAATATCTAAACTGTAGCAATAAACCGAATTGATATTTAAAAAAATTCAATGCCGCTTGGAACACTTCCTCTCAAATTCAGTTATGCATGTTGCAAAATGCCAAGGAAACAATTATCTTGAATTACTTTTTGTGTTGAAATACTCTAGCAAAGACTAACCAGGCCAAGTGAATACTTCCCATTTCCAGTCTGTAGGTGGCCCTTCCTGCTCCCGCCTTCTCCCCATCTTACCAGAGCCTCCTCTGTCTAATAAGTGACCCTTTGGAGGCTTGAGCACACACCTCCACATTGTCCCTCTTGGCAGTCACTAATGTCAGCTTGATTTCTTTACTGTAGAATGTTACTGACAATGATCTTTGGGCTGTACGACAGTCTGGTTGCTAAGCTTGACTCTGGCGTAGGTGATTATCTGCTGCAGTTTATGCTACAGGGCAAGAAATAACCCAGGTATTCTTGCTTTTTTCATAGTTGATGTAATGATGCAATTATTCACTTTCTCTGCCGCCATCTCTTTCAAGCAGTTTTGAAAATCCTTCCGCCGCATACAGAGACACAATCATCGCGATGCTCAACATTTCAGACGTCAGAAGTCCGTTTTACCTGCATCCGTTCACCTGTGTGGCCCTGAATGATCGCGGTGTCGAGGTAGCACATGTCCAGTTTGTACAGCCAGGTAAGCGACCAACTATTTACTTGTAAGTTTTTGTTGTTGTTTTTTTAATGTGACAGTGGTAGCTCAGTTCACGGACTTGATTTGTTCCATGATTTATCGTACTAATTATTCTGTTCCAGAGGTAGGAGCAGCCTGGGTCCTCTGTGCTGTAGACACCTAGCGAATGTGTTTAGGTAAAAGATCACCCGGGAGGCTTATGTATTGCTTTACAAGGAGGACGTCTGAAGTTAGTGCTTTCGTGAATTCATAAAATTACAGAGTTGAAATGTTTGTGAAATGTTTAAAAAGAATCTATAGCTGCTTTTTAATTTTTATTAATTTTTCCCCATAATTTTATTGGTAAACAAATAGCAACGAGACAATTTCAAATCAAATTGGTAGGACAGTTTCAATAATTAGCACATTGCATACATTCTTCCTAGTGGTTAATTGCTGTACAAGATGCGGACATGATATCCTATTTACAAACACCATTAGAACAAATCTCTCTATTCATCAAGAGAATGTAACTATATATCTATCCTAACCACTTTGAATACACAGACACAAAATTGACATTCATCTGTATACCCTTTTTTTGTTAAGTTCCGTTATTTGAATATTATAGGTGTGTAAACTCAGTAAAATATTCTAAAAGAGTCCAGTAGCCCATGATAGTATTGGGTCTTCTGCTTCACTGGCAATGTCAGAAATTGTTGACCTGAGTCCCCTACAGCTCAACATAACAGCATGGCTTTACGTCTTATATTTCGTTTTTTTACTTTTCTGCTGGATGGTTAAGACCAAGGTAAAGCAGGACCTATGCAACAAGAGTTGTAGCTTTTGGATCTGATAAGGTCAGTGAAATCCCCTCAGGATTTATCCTGAGATCCTGTACCTCAGATTGTACATCCTTTGTCAGTGTCAGCCATGTGGATGAGTCACGGCCATTGCTTGACCAATGTGCTCTCTGTGAAAGCCTGAGAGAGTGTTTTCTCTCAATTTTTATTAATTTTATTGAGAAAGAAATAGCAATGAGAGTTTCAAAACAGGGTAGTAGGACAGTTACAATAATTAATACATTGCATATTGTTGTCTTCATAGTAGTTATTCATAGTACAAATGTAGACATGATATCTTGTCTAAACACTATTAGCACAAATCTTTCTTCTCATTGAATTAAGAGAAAGGAGCTGTATATCTAGCATATATATATATATATATATATATACACACACATATATATATACACATATATATGTATATATAGTAGCTGCTTTAATAATACATTATTTATAAATATAGATCTGAAAAAATATCTAAAAGACCCTGAGAGGAACTATTACAATGGGGAAAGAGTTTCCATAGGGTCACTAGGATCTTGTTATAGTATCATTTCTGTGTGTGTCTCAATACCAATCACATACAAATAGATATTTAATATTAAAGTAATATTTACAGTAGCCACAAAAATCATCAGAACTCTAAGTCTAAATCTAGCACTAGCTGTTTAAATCCTCTAGTACAGTGTAAACAGTGACTGAGATACTTCAGAGTCTACATGGAAGGACATACAGTGTTCCTATTTTGAAAGACTCTTTGTTGTAAGGATGTCAGTTATCCCTGATGAACTTGGAGATTCGTAAAGTTCCCATTGGCATCACGGTGGTGTCTGCGTAAGTGTGGGTGTGTTCGTATGGCTGTGTGTTGTGCAACAGCCGTATGAAGAGGTAGATGACCAAGACTAGACAAGTAGGCCTGCACCAGAACAGCCAGGCTGGCCTGCTCTGGCAAGCACAGGGACCAGGGTTCAATCCCTGGTCCCACGTGCCACACCGGCATGGTGGCACACGCCTGCCACGCCTGTAATCCCAGCACTGGGGAGACTGAAAACAGGAGGATCATCATGATTCTGAGCTGTATAGTGAGATCCTGTACCAAATACACAGATGGAAAAAAAAAAAAAAAAAAAAAAAAAAAAGCCCAGCCAACCTAGAGGACTCCCCTTCCAGACACCGTGCTCTCGTGGGGAGCTTCAGGGGCGAAGCCTGTAGCCGGGAGTGCTCCCCGCTGCCCACTGTGCAGCGGTCTGCGGAAGGCCACATCTTATTTCTGCTTTGTGCTGCATCAGTTCCAGATGGCCCGGAGATCTAGATGGGAAGAATAATGTGGCGAAGCTCTTAGATCCTCCTCCCCTGTGCCGGTGTCCGTCCTGGCCTTCTGCTTCCTCTGTCTGCTTCTTCTGCAGCTTCTTCCCCTCCCACCCACCTTCTCTCCCCTCTCTGACCACTGACTACGTGACCAGGAAGCTCTACCAGCAGAATGGAGACGCTCCCCTGAGCCCTGCTGCTCGCTTCCATGTCCTGGGTTTTCCTAGCTGACTCTCCTAGCTCAAGGAATGTTTGTGGCTTTTGAGTAATAATTTTGACTCCTGGTAAGCTGTGGAGAGCTCTGTTCTGTGGTTCTCAGCATTTTCTGTTTTTGCATATTATGTTAAGTGGAAACTTAATAGAAGGCTTTACTACATAAGACTTGAGTTGTATACAGTGCCCATGCTGTATTGCTTTGTGCCTCAGTGTCCTTTATTAGTGATAGTAATGAATGAATCAATATTGTAAATACAAAGCTGACCCCAGATATGCTTTTCCTGCAATGAAAAATGTTACATTTTCTGTGCTCAAAGTTTTAATTCTTTTCAGTGCTCATATTTCTCGCCTCTTTTCTGCTCTAGTCCCTGATTTCCAGAAGTACTTGATTGGAGTATTTGTCACGTTGACATTTGTAATTATATGCTCAGTTTTCATCTATAAAATCTTCAAGGTTGACATCGTGCTCTGGTATAGAGATTCCTGCTATGATTTTCTCCCCCAAAGAGGTATGATTTGATGTTCTCTGTAGTATTTTCTCATTGGGGAGAGAGGATAGTTAGGACATGTAGAAGGTGACTCAGGGTTTTTTTTTTTTTTTTTTTTTTCAGAGGTTTAAAATGACAAGTGACATGCACAGCAATAGCAGTTATTGCCAATGTAATTATGGTTTATTTGACATAATTACAGCTTCGTAGCTGGTGAGGCTGACTGTCACTGCTGTCTGGGTTTCTTCTCTGGCCCTGTGTTGGGGGATAGACAGAGGCACAGACGTCCTTGCTGTGGCTGAGCTCTGTGCCGTGGAGGGCGGAGGGCGCTCCCGGGTCCACTTTCAGATGGAAAGAAATGATGAGGTCGTCAGGGAGACTTTCCCTCTCCCTCCTGCTAAAGCCTTGCAAAACCCAGGCGTGGCTGCACGTGGCCGTCATCCCAGCACGCTGGGAGAGAGAGGCAAGGGGTTCACGAGTCCATTCCTGCCTTGGCAACTGAAGGAGACCCTGTCTCAAAATAAAAGTAAATAAAAAGGGCTGGGGATGGAGCTCAGTCCTGGGGTTACTTCCCAAAACTGAAAAAACTAAATGAGACAAAACCTCTAGTATCATGGTGATGCATGAAGAGAAGAATGAGTAGGATCAGGCCTGAGGTACTGAGACTTCCAGGGAAGAAGACAAGATGAGGAAGCTGGAGATACTTCCCTGGCGATTGAATATGACCTGGCCACCATGCGAGGCCACAAGAACAACTTTGTAGCCAAAGTCAATAGAAAACTTGTAGGAGATAAACGCTTGAAAAAAGTGTTAAATTGTTCTGGTATTGTTCCTTCAAGCATGCCATTGTACAAAAGAGATTACATAGTTCAATGTGAGGTGTGTTTGTGATACTAGCTGTAATCTACCATTTTCACGCTTTGTTGTAAATACATTTTCTCTTTAGCTTCCAGTGGAAAGATCTATGATGCTTATGTACTATATCCGAAGACCCTCACGGAAGGGTCCACCTCGAGCTCAGATATTTTTGTGTTTAAAATCTTGCCTGAGGTCCTGGAAAAACAGTTCGGATATAAGCTGTTCATTTATGGAAGGGATGACTATGTTGGGGAAGGTAGGTATGCAATGCAGACACCAAGAGGCCTGCTGGAAATTAATGCTAAATTTAGGTTCATTCCTTCTCACTGACTGCAGCGAGGCAAGTAGCTCTAACTGTTTCATAGCTTTACAGATCTCTTCATTGATGTCCCACAATGGTTTTAGCACTTATTAAATGCAAAGAATTCACTTCTCCTATAGCTCATTAGATTGATAATTGAATGTATTTTTATTTGCTTTGCACATTGAGTAACTGAATTCCATAGCTACTTTTCAGCTGGCATGAAAGTTTTCTAAAGTCTGCAGATTTAGTGGGCCAGCTGTTGGGCTGGTCTAGAACGTGCAAAAGTCCTGTAGGATCCAGAGTGAGGTAGAAAAGTAGCGTCAGTGGGTAGGGAAAACCTTGGGAGGTTTGGTTCTGGACAGAATGACTTTGGATCATTGGTTGTAATTTTGGTTCTTCATGTCTTCCAGATAAAATTGAGGTCATGAATGAAAGCATCAGGCAAAGCAGGAGGCTGATCATCATTTTAGTGAGAGACATAGCGGGCTTCAGCTGGCTGGGCCACTCGTCAGAAGAGCAAATTGTGATGTACAATGCCCTCATTAAGGAAGGAATTAAGGTGGTGCTGGTTGAGCTGGACAAAATCCAAGACTATGAGAAAATGCCAGAGTCCATTAAATTTATTAAGCAGAAACATGGGGTCATCCGCTGGTCAGGGGACTTGAGAGCAGGACCACAGTCTGCAAAGACCAGGTTCTGGAAGAACATCAGGTACCATATGCCCGCCCTGCCACTGTCCCCTGTGTCCTCACAGCAGTTGCTGGCCAAGGCCAGCAGACAGGACTCCACGGACACACTGCAGAGCAAAGTTCGCTTGCCGCTCGGGTAGCTGGAGTGGCCAGCGGAGGTTCTTTGGGTACCTCTTGTCTCATGGTGCTGCAGAAAGGCTGTGCCCTGCTGGCTTCTGTGGTCCTGCAATGGCCCGTCCAGTCGGCCCACACTACCACCTGCGGTCAGATCCGTGAGGGTGCAGGACTTGGTGACAGCAGCAGCCCGGCGTGATTCGGAGCAGCGGCGTGGGCCTTGCTAGTGGGTAACCAGTGCCCTCCCTGATGCCCGAGCTGCTGAAGAGAGGGGCCTGGAAGCAAAGGTGTGCAGGGCCTGGCTGCCCTCTGTGGGAGGACTTGTGAAGCTGTCCCCAGCCACGCTGGGGACCTAGCTGGTCACGGCCCAGAGCTCTGTCCTGGGCTGCGCTGTTGGTGGAGCAAGACCCAGCCAGTGGAGGAGGGCAGCGGGTTCTTGGAGAACTCCCATGCTTTGCATTTTCCATCCATGACCACATCCTGCAGGCCGTTTCCAAAGGCCAGATTGTGCGTACTACGGTGACAGTTGTCATTTTGGTGAAAAGGGTTCTCTGGATCCCACGGTGGTGAAGTCACTACGGCTTTCCTCAGAAGAAAGAGGATCTGAAAGTGGTGGTGGTGGCGTCAGACCACCTCTTCCAGCTGTCCTCCGGGGACCAGCAAGAGCCAGTCCTTCCTTCTCACGCGTTTTACTCTGTTCCTTGTTTCCTTGCAAGGACAGCTCTGTCGGGGTTTACTCCCTCTGCTGTCCCTAGATGCGGCACCTCTCACCTCCTGGCCCCTGTGGACACACTTGTGAGGTATGCCCTGCTCAAAGCCAGGGGCAGCTCTCCCGCTGTCAGGGTCACCCACCTGTGTGTCGCCCCGCCCAGCTCTCCCACCCACCCTCACCCACCTGTGAGCCCCAGGTGCTGCCGCACCTGTGCGCTCTTGTGTGTGCTCTGGCTGGCCAGGAGTCACCTTGTGGGTGCTTGTGCCTGCGCTGTGGATCCCGCAGCCCGCCCTCTGGGGCCCTCTGCCCTTCCTGCTCCTCTGCTAATGCTGCCCAGCGGCTCCCGCTGCAGCAGGGAGTGGGGACCTCTCTCTGTCCTTTACTTCCTTCCATGAGCTATTTGCACACGACATAGATTTCTAAAGTGCCTGTTTGTTTAAAATGTCTTCTGATAATTGTATTTAATTTTTTTAAAGTATTCTAATTTTATGTAAAAAAAAAAAAAAAGTGACAAACCAACCAAAGAACCTCAGTTCTGGTGGCCCGAGGGCATGGGCCTTCCTTTCTGGCTTCTCCTTCACTGCTCTGAGTAGTTGACTTCCGGTCATTAACTGTCCCTTTCCTGCACTTCGGTGCTCAAGTGAGAAGAAATGGTAGCTTCCTGGTGGCAATAGAGCCCGGGAATGTTTTCATGTAGGAAACAAATTTGAAATTTTTCCATGTTGGAATTTATGAAAATTATGTTTAGGTTTTACGAAGACCCTTTTCACCTTCTTTCTTTCCCGAAAGGCAGCTATCTCTTCGCCAAGTAAAATGAAAATCAAATTGGGCTTTGGGGCATAGAAATAAATTATTTCTTAAAAAATTGATGCAAGTGCTGAGAGTAGGTGGAGCCGCCGTGGGGAGGGTGGAGCTCCTGCTCCTGCTCCGCCTACCAGAGGGCTCAGGCTCAGGTCTGGGAATCGTGTGACCGGCGCAGGCCTTCTGTTTTCATGCTCTTAGGACTTTATGATGTGGGTGAGCACACGTGTACTTGGAAGACACGTCCCCTCCCCCCCCGGTCCCCACAGTCCCCTCCCGGCCTATCTTACCCTGGTCCTGGCTCACAGTTCCGAAGAAGAGGAGGATGGCTTTGAGCTGCTGTTGGAACGAAGGCCTGAAGGTCACCTGCGTCCCGCAGATGCCCCTGGAAGTCCAGTAGGGTTGGCTGTGTCGGGACCTAATGGCCTACGAGATGCTCTGAAGGCTTTTGCCCCTGGTCACTAGTGGACCGTCCAGAATGCACCCTGGCATGCACAGCGCGGGCCCAAGCCAATCTTGAAGCTCAGAACTAGTGATGGATGGGGATGCGGGGCCAGCCAGGCGTGAGAGAGCGTGGCGCCTGGCGCTGGGGGGGGGGGGGGGGGGGCCAGCATCAGGAGGGTGGCCCAGTGCAGGGTCCCGGGCAGAAAGCACGGAGCTGCTCCGTCTCGGGGACCCTGAGGACGAGGCCGCGTCTCCGGCCCTGTGAACTTCCCGAGTTGTTATCATCCCCTAACTACAAAGCACAAATAAAGCTGCCTTTGAAAGCTCTGTCATGCTTTGCCCATGAATTGGATTTCATAGCACACTTTCTAATCGTAGTTTTTTTTTTAAAAGCCTAAGAGTTGATGAAGAGTTTGTAGATGGAACCAAATATTTCCTGGTCAGTGGTCAAACTACTTTTGCAGAACTTGTGTTTTCTCTCTCCTACTTAAAAAAAAAAATTACTTTCAAGACAAGAAAAAATATTGAGCCATTTTTAAGGTGACATTTTTGATAAGTTATGTTTGTATTGGTGAATGATGAAGGATTAAAACGCAACAAAACCCTTGTTTGTGTCATTCTGCAGCAGATGTGAAGTATTTTTGTATCTTAAAACACCAAAAACCTGTGCAGACTGTACTTGTTTCCCAATAAAATTGTGACACCGTGTGTCGAATACTACTGGGAGCCTGTCTATCTGCCTGTCCACTCCGCTGGGATCCTCACCCTTCCAAGCCTCCAAGCTGGGCCGGAGGCAGGTTGTGGGTGGGCGGGGGCTCGGGCGGGGTTAGGGAAAGGGGCGGGGACAGGAACAGGGGGCGGGGTTAGGAAAGGGGCGGGGTTTGGGAGTTGCATTGCCTGCCTGGCTTCTGCGTACAGGAAGTCGTGTCAGCTCCGTGATCCTCTCTTGTCGCTGAGCTTGTTCCAGACACCCCCGCAGTCCAATAGCGACGTTATATATATTTTAGTATTTATATATATTTTTAGGCTTTATGAACTCTTCCCACACTCTTATAAACCTTTCCTACACTTTTAGAAACACTTGTAATGTTAACCATTGTCTAAACTCAAAAACCTACATAGTTTTAACAACATACATATACTTTATGGTACAGTATATACTCGTCCACTAAAATACATACTGTAAACAGTGTATTTTATTTCAATTTAATGTTCTTTTAATATGTTAGAATTAACACTTTAAATATATTTTTAAATATTTTAAAATTTTAGGCAAAAATCATTAAAACCATAAATAGTACACATATAAATACGTATAGAGTACTGTACACTACTGCAAAATCCCGCGATATAATGAAAGATCTGTGATAATTTAGATTAATGTTTTTCGAAAACCCGCAAACAGCCTGCGAAAGTTGAACCACGAAATAGGATCAATGGGGGACTATTGTAGTCCACCTGCTCACGTGTTTCTCTAACGGATTATAGCGTGAATCTCACGGTTACTGGCCTTTGACCTGGCCCCTCCCCATGACAAGGGCAAAGGTCCCTGTGTATAGATGGTCACATTTCATGCATGGCTTCCGTCCATCTTTTCCTCTGACCCAGGAGTCGGGCAAAGTTGGCAAACTCAGTGTCTACAGTGCATGTGCTAAAACTGCTGAGCTCGGTCAATCAGAGCACTCCCAGATGGTCAGATGCACCAATCAAGGCACTTACAGCTGGTGAGATGGACCAATCAGAGTGTGCACAGCTAAACCTGTTGGTATACACCAATCAGCGGCTAAAGCCGCTAAAGTGAGTGAGCCCCACCAATCAGAGCACTCACAGCTAAAACTGATGGGCTCCAGTGATTAGAGCACTTTCAATGTTCCATTGCACCTCTGTGCCTGCACCAGTAATGGGCAGGAGCCCCTGTGTAGGGTTAGAGTAGATAGCTGTGGGCTTCGAATAACAGAGAGCCCTGGAGTTGCTGCCTGCCCGCCAAGTCATGGGAAACCCTACAGGAAAGCCCTGAGCTGGGTTTCCTTACTGGGAATGCTACCTAATCCATAGAGTTGTGCAAGTATTGAAAAGACCATGTATCACCACAGGCCTAGCCTAGTGTCAGGCTTTAAAGAGTGGCAGCTCTACCTCAGGCATGTTAGGAGGCTCAGCAGGAGGACCACAATTTCCAACCTAGCCTGGGGAACTTAGTGACTTAGCCAGACCCCATCTGCAAACCATAAATTAATTAATTAATTTATAAGGCTGAGGCTGAGTACTAAGGCCCTGGGTTAAATTCCCAGTATTGCAAAATAGATGGGTAGATAGACAGTAGCTTTGTTTATAACTATACTACCAATAAATTTGGTTCCCTTGAGTCCTTTTAGAATATGCCAAATGAGTGGCTAGAGAGGAGTTATAAACAAGGGGGTGTGTGTATGTGTGTGTGTGTGTGAGTGAGTGGTGACACCCTAAGAGATCCTAAAAATAAAGGCCAAGTACAGGACACCCACACATACAGCACACAGGCTTGGGCGCTGCTTGGCCCAAGGCCCCTTTGCAGCTCCAAAGGTGCAGGGAGGTAAATCAAGTTGAAATTGGATTAATATATTTCTGATCATTTCCATAACCACTCAGTAGAGTTAAATAGGCGAGAATTTATGAAAATGTAGGAACTGGCTGTCTAGAACCTTGCCTGGGCAGAACGTCTTGTTCCAAGAGTTCCAGGAGCCCCTCCCATGTTTCTGTTCCTTTTCCCATTAGTGTGGTTTTTAGCAAATCATCAGAAGAATCAAAGCTGGCTACCACCCAAAAGTTGTATTTTCTGCTCTCTTGTATAAATACTTTTCCGATCCATGCAAGAAAACCTTACTTGGGGGTGAGCTCTGGAATCATTTCTCCATGAGGATCCCACCTGCTAGAGAAGACCTGATTTCTAAGCCCTTCTTCAGTTGCTTTGTTGCTAGCTGTGCCATCTGTGGACAGGACTTCCTGCACACAAGGTGCTGTAGGAGGGAGGCCTCTGTCCAGTTCTTCTCTCTACATTTTTCTTAATTTTACCACTTGAGGTCAACTGGAATGAAAATTTCTTTCCCATTTACTAAAGTGAAGCACAGTGATGAGTCACTGCAGGGGCAGGAATTCATAAGACAGGAAGCTGCACGTGAAAGGCGTGCACAGGAAAAGGCAAGCTGGAAGGGTGTGGGGGGCACACTAGCATGTATTTTATAAATGAAGCATAAAGGCCCGCACCAGGTGTGTGTGCAAGCCAGTGCACGTGTGTCTCCAGGAAGGGAAAGCACTACAGGAAACAAATGATGGCATTTAAAGTGACTTTTTCCAACAAAAACGTGCTCATCTTTCCTCACAGTGCCCAAGGTTCTCTGAGGAAAGCTGCAAGTCCTGTCTGTTAACTTCAGATGAACCCCAAACATTAGCACAGCTGTCTCCCAGTCTGTAGCTGTTAGACCAGTTGAGCCTGTACTGCTTGAAGCCAGACTGACAGCTCCCCTTGACTTCTCCAGGGCTGTCCTCAGCAAGGGGTGAGGTTAATTTACTCATAGACTCAATCCATGAAGCTTGTGTGTCATAGATCCTTTGACCTGGAAGTGATTCCAAGAGTCAGGTTTTACTTCCGGGACAGCATCATTCCCTGAAAGCATCCCACAGGGTCCCTTGGATTCCCTTTTATTCAGCATGGCCTGGGAATGAGATCGCTCAGATTTGAGTGATGGTTTACTGTGGTTTTCACAGGGCACATTTTCACCCAAAAGCCTGGTCCTGATGCAGTAAGGAATGGGTGCCTTACTTCCTGGGTCCTGTATTCATTGTACCCTTGAGGAAGGAATTCAGTCAAGACACGTGGGTGGCCATGAAGAGGTATAGACAGAGTTTCTGCAATGGATACAGAGGCAGTTTCAATATCCAGTGAGAAGGTGGGTGGTTCTGTGAAGGCATCTACACCCAATGAGAGTTTGAGAAGCTTTTTACGCACTTAGGAAGTTATTCCTGAGCTTCAGAGCACTAGAGTCATTGTGGTGCCAACCAACACTTTACTTAGAAGTTACTTTGAGGGGCCGGGGAGATAGCTCAGTAGAATAAGCGCTTGTCTGGCAAGCACAAGGCCTGAGTTCAGTCCCTGGTTCTGCAAAAACAAACGAACAACCAAAAAGAAGTTACTTTGGAGTTGTAAAATATCCTCCTGTCCTGTTTAGAGTGGCGGTGTTTCCTTGGGGCTTTAGTCATGGAAAAAGTAACTTACCAAGAGGAGTCTGTTATGGGTCAACTCTTCATAGGAACCAGATCAGCCAGATAGAAATTTGAATAGAGCCTTTTATTTACTGCGCTCAGGTCCATCAGCCACTTCTCTCGCAGGAGAAGGCTGATCAGCCCCGAACATAGGTAGCAAGGGGGTATTTATAACAGAAATCACATCCAGTTTGGCAAGCAAACTTATTATCTAGTACAGAACAACAGAAACTGCATTCATTTGACACAGCTGCAAACTGTTCATAACTAAAAGGTCCTTCACAGCATAGAGATAAGTGCATATTTTTACAAGGTATATCTTAAACTATGTTGCAGAAGATGGTTGGGGAGGGAGTTTGTGTTAGCTTGCTGCCTTGACAAGAAACAGTTATTTATTGTTGAACAGCCTTGAGCCAAAAGGGAGAACACATTTCTTAGAACAGATAACAGGAAGCACAAGGGGTTTTTATAATTTTCCACAATTAAGGCACAAAACTCTATTAACCCTTTACAGAGTCCTTAACTTTAACCAGCCCCAGCCTAAGGCAAGAGCATCTTCAATGAACTTTTTCTTTCCTGATATCATTCGACTGTAGTGTGCCTTGCTTTTGTGGGGTGTTTGGATACTCATACATGATATATTTTGATTCCACTTTTTTTCCCCCAAATCCCTCTCCTGCCCTCAACTCATCTTCCCCTCCCTATTTACAAAGCTTTGTTTCCATTTTGTTCATTTCATTTCCTTTCCTCCCCCTTCCTCCCCTTTCCTTTCTCCTCCCCTCTCTCGAGTTTCCCATTTCTCTGGAACAATTCCTTCATTGCACAATATCTGTTGCACATTTTGTTTCTTATTTACTCTTTCACTTTCTCACATCAGGGAGACAAGGTGATATTTAAACATACTACCCTGATTTATTGCACTTGAGAGTATGGGCTGAAGATGCATCCATTTACTTAGAAAGGCCTCAAATTTATCCTTCTCTATGGCAGAGAAGTGATCTATTATGTAGAAAAATACTGAATGACCCCTCCTTTACCCATTCCTTGGTCGGTGCGCATTTGCATGGGCATTTCAAGGTTTAGCTATCACAGACTGTGCTGCTATAAACACGGGCACACATACATGGCTGTGGTGTGACGCTTCACA